ATTGCCTTTTTCTCCACAGCTGAGTTCAAAATGACAAGATATCCCTTCCGATTAAATGAAAAGAATTTGATTTATTTAAACTATCAGAAGTCTAAGAAACGTTTTCCCTCCTGTCTTTTATTAAGTATTACTTTATCGTGCAGAGTAAAATGTACCATGTAAATAATTTATATGTACGTTTTATTTAGTTTATTTTATTTCTACAAAATTAAATTGCGGTCTAATAAAACTGAAGCCCACCAGCGTCCGAGCGGTAAAGTCGCTGAACACTGGTAGTTCGGTCCGAGGTTCGAATCCCGTGAACGGGCTGACTGCATGGGTGTTTTCATGGTGTTCCCTATGTGTAACGTGTATACGAGCCAGTTTCCCTTAGAAAGTCCTCCACGAAAGCATATCTACCCCTAGGTAGATAGCCCTCGAGGCTTTGCCGTAATTAAATAACCTAACCTAATAAAACTGTGTTTGTTTATTTATATTGCTTTGTGCTTATTTCATTTATGCTATTATTGTTTTTAGACTTTTGTCGAAAGCAACAAACCAGACAAAATTACAATTTAGGTTGGATAAATTGTTTAGTAAGAAGTAGGAAACCATAAAATAACCCAGAATAGGCCTTTATAAAAACAAGAAATAACTGTGAAGTTGAATGAAGAGGCAACCTACATGAACTATTAAAAATGGAAGCAACTTTCTCATTTACAGATTACTTGCATTTTTGTAAAATGTATGTATCACCGTACATATCTAAAAACATATAGAATTTTGTCAAATATGCAAGACCCAAAAGCCAAAATATTTAACAAAATTACATATTTTGTGCCTATAAATGTAACAAGAATGAGTCTAATAGGAATAAAATCTTGAAAAATTGACAGATTATGTTCGAATATACAAATTCAATAGAAGCTGAATATCAGACTATTAGAAAAAATATCGGTTAATTACAAAATAAGTAGAGAAATAAAGTTTAGGAAAACATTTACATTATATACTTCATTTTCTGAAACACGGTAAAACACATAACATATTAATGTACAGATAAGGAAAGGAAAGAAATTCGAAAATGTTTCTTTAGTAATTTCAAGAAATTAATAAAATACTTGTCCAATTAAATCTGCTTGCCTGATTTTTCCTTTTGGATAAAAAAAACATACTAAATACATCAATAAATAATACATTATGTCATGCTTTTTAGTAATTTCAAAAACACTTACTATTACTTAGGTATTTTTCTTCCAACTCCCTCTGGAGCAGACCGCCGACAGCATCTTCAAGAATTTTTAATCGGATTTCTAAATTTAACAGCTTTGCTTTTTGTTTTGCGGACATCGTATTATAAAATCATTGAAAAATCTTAATCTAGACTAATCACTTTAATATTTACAAAATTTAAAGTTAAAACGTCGTATGCCACTATGACTACCAACTTCGAAATACCGCCCGTCAACTTCGCCTGATTTCAATGATGTCAAAAACAGAAATGAATTGTTTTGGATGCGCTTGAACATTGATTTTTTACATGTTACCTGCTGCGCAGACAGGAGGTGAAAATGTTTGTATAAACAGTTTAGGAATGCTATGAATTGTTCAAGTCAGTAGCAGCCAAATGTTGTCTACATGAAGAGTAATGTAAGATGCAATACTGGCTCTGTAAGCAAGAAATTATTTTGCTTATGTATTTTATACTTATGTACTATATATAATATATTAAACTTTAGCCAAACTTTTTTAAAACAGGCCGTAATAATAAATGTTGATAACTTTAAACTTGCCCTTATATTTATTTCAAGTAAATTTTGTCAGCAGATTTCGAATGAAACCAATTTTGCACTAACAGCAAATAAAAAATTCACATATGCGGAATTAAAATGCCAATTTGAAACATATTTTTTAAAAGTATTTATATTCTTGAATTTAATGTGATGAGATAGTGAGAACATTAATACGTTAAATTGCAATATAATATAGATTAATTAAAATAAAAATGAGCTATATGCTAATGAGAATACATATGGCAGAGGTGGTGGTGATGGAAAGCAAAAAAGAGAAGGAACTAAGTCAATTTTCTCTTCTATCTTAGCAGAAATACGGTACTTGCATTATGTATTTGTGAACTAAAGTGGTGTGCAAAAATTAAGAACGAAGTCGAAAAATTAGCATATCAGCTGAACGAAGAGGCAGAGCGGACAGAAAGACCAATCAGGAGATTAAGTAAGGTGATGTACGGTAGCACATACGCAGATATGCAGGTAGACGTAATGAGGGAGTGTCTGAGTAGTATAAAGCATGTTGTCGGTGTAAGATCAGTTTTTCTGGCAAAGATTGCACGCCGTATAGCAGTTAAAATCACACACCGAGTTGGTGCCTCAGCGAGAAATGGCGAATAATCAATCTGTTAGACGACATCGGACGCCTTTTACCCAGGTCGAATCATTGGGAAGTTGGAGGAAGGCCGCAGTGTGACAAGTGTGGCTGCAGAGTTCGGAATGCTCACACATCGTTTCACGACTTGGAGACAATTTCAAACTACAGGAACAGCTATCCGGGGGTTTAGTAGTGGTCGTCCACGAGGAACCACACACCGCAATGACCGGTATATTGCCTTACAGGCCAAAGAACAGGCGGCAGACGCGGGAGAAATCGCTAGACACACGACACAGGCGACTGGACGACCGATATCGCGTTTTACAGTGGCCAGAAGACTGCACGGTGGTGGTCTGTTTGCACGACGCCCTGTACGGTGTGTACTCTAACGCCTGCCATCGGAGAAGGCGTTCGCTGTGTTGCCGGGAACACCGGAATTGGAAGACAATGAATGGGACGAGTACTCTTTACAGATGAGAGCAGATTCAGTCTGAGTAGCGATTCTCATCGCATACTCATCTGGAGAGAGCGAGGAAGCCGCAATCATCCCTCGAACATCATGAAAGGAACAGGTATGAAGGTGTGGGTTTCTCGTTTGGGAAGGCATCATGCTTGGTATCGTACAGACCTTCAAATCTTCGACGCATTTCAGTCAAACGGGACCCGTTATGTAACGAGATTTTTCTTCCATAGTGCGTCTTTTTAGAGGCGCTATGGGTCCGCAGTTCCTTTTCCTGGACGACAATGCACCATGTCATCGCACAGTAGCTGCCGAACAGCTCTTAGAGAGTGAGGATATTGAACGTATGGATTGGCCGGCACGATCTCCGGATCTCAATCCCATCGAGCATGTATGGGATTTTCTAGGCAGACCTTGGCAGCTCGTACCTTACCACCAGTAACGATTCCGGAGCTTCGTTGCGCTGCAAGACGAATTGCAGAAATGCCTCAACAACTCATGACACCTCATTCCAGCGTGGGCAGACGCTGTGAACCTGCCTAGCAGTCGGGGATCATATCCCTATTAAAGACCGGATGTTTCTTGCTGGACACCCATCACGGATGTTTCGGCCTTCAGTCGCATTGCGCTCCTTGCTACTTTTTCAATAAGTCTTTTTATTCCTCTGATTTCTCTTTTAGTGTTGCTTACATTACGGATGTCCTTACGTATTGGGGATCTTACGGTATTAAATGTTTTGATTGGAAGCTTTTGTACAAAGTTATATTGAAAAAAAACCCGTCTCGTCCTTAATTTTGCACACCAGTGTATTCCCTATAATTATTATACACATTAATAATAATAATGAAACTTTATTCAAATTAATTTTAATAAAATAAAGTTAATTTAATATTTTACATTTTTGTGTGTTTCTTGCTTCCACAGTGCGTTTAATTTAAGAGCGACAGCGGACCATCGTAGTAAACATAACGTCTGAGGGCGAGTAGTTGGTAGAGGTATTTAATTATATAGAAGCCCCTCTTTTTTAGATTATGTATAACTTGTATGGTTCAACTACTTTAAAACGATGAGTTTAAGTAAAGAAAAAGTATTTTTATTGTAAATAGAGGATTTAAATTAATAAATAGTCAGAGTTAAGCATTAATTATCACAATATGTTGATGCTATCTACAAAAATGTCACATTGCGTGGCAAAGAAACATTTTTTGCAAAATACTTAGCAATGATAGTTTTGTTAACAGCTCTAACAATCGATTTCAAATCTGAAACATTTTAAGTTATAAAGATTTAACTTCGCCTTAAATACTGACAAATTTTATACAGCTAGAGCTACATTTTTATTCCTTTCTGGTAAGAGACAAAAGAATGTCTATGCTAAGAACGAAAAATTCGCCAAAGCAAGAGTAGCTCTGGCAGATCACAGAGGGAAAACGTATGCTTCAGTTTCGAACCGATGTGGAAGCGGATCCAACCTTAATATCGTTTTGTCGAGACAGTATCGAAGATTAGTTTGTCAAGTTCTGTGATATCATTTTTTCACCAACGTATCGACCTAAATCAAATCAGTGATCCCCGCAAGTAAACTAAATAATGGATTATTTACTTTGAGTAACAAAATCTACGAAAATCCGTTTTTAAATTATCGTGAAACGTTTTATCAAAGAACGAATTTTATAAGGTATTTCTCCCGCCTTCTTAGCATGCCTTCGTGGTGTAATGGACGCCACAGTCGGCGCGTATTCAAGAGGTCCGAGGCTCGAGTCCCGGCGAGGGAATTGCACATTTTTCATATCTCCTGCTTGGAAATAACCTAATGTCTTTACAGTGGCTCCTGAACTAAAAAGGTGGTGGATAATGTTTCTTCACCACCAGGATTTGGCGATGGGCTCCCCTAATCCACAGTCGCCCTTTAAAAGGAGATTTATAAGGTATGTCTTCCGCCTTCGTGGTGTAATCGTCAGAACACTCGGCGCGTATTCGAGAGGTCCGAGGTTCGAATCCTGGCGAGGGCATTGCTAATTTTTCATGTATTCTGCTTCAAAATAACCTAATGTCTCTACAAGTAGTTTTGTACAGTATTTGTGATACACGTTCTTTAGTTTTGTACAGTATTTGTGATACACGTTCTTTGTCAATGCCAATTATTTTTTGTAATCATGAATCTGTAAATAATCACCTGTATACCCTGGGATAGATTTCAGAGGAAAAATATCAATAGGCGACCACTGAGTTGCAGCATTATGTTTCCCTTTCTTGTATGTGTCTGGGTCGCTCCATTGTGTTGCAGCACTTCGTAATCTTTCTCTTTCTTCATCTTCTTCCACACTTCCTTCACTTGGGACTTGGATGGCAACATCTTGCTGCTGGGTTTCAGCATTCGATGTTTGCATAGCACGTCGCTGAGCATTTGTGTCCGTCCACTGTACTTTTCTTTGGTTTTCAGGAAATTTTGATAATTTCTGGTGCACGTTATTTCTTTCAAGGCAAGCGCTTTCAACAGCATGAAATGCAGGAGACCGAAGAGCTTCAGCAGGTGTTAGTTTTTCCAAGAGATTCGACCCTTTTCTGTTCCCTGGATGTTGAGATTTCTAAAAAACATATACATGCATCATTTTTTTCCCAAAACATGAAGTTATCTTATATCTTTTTACATTTAATTAAAAGGTGCGCAATTAGAAATTCTTACTAACTACAAAGTCGATTTCTTGCACCAGACATGTCAAGTTTTAGAATAAATAAGAACTCTGTTAAATGTATTGTTAACATGTAACATTCTATGTGTAACTTAAATCTGTCGTATTCCAGAGAAACTGCTTTCTCACCCCAATTTTCCGTTTAATCTGAGAGGAAGTTAATTGAATACTTTTATTATTTTTGTTGTCTATTTAATTTTTTGTTAACTTTTTTTCGTATAATGCACTAAATCAACTATATGTAAAAAGTCCAATTTCTTCGATTTAAAAGATGTTGATAAAAAACTACACTAAACATCGTACAGCAATTAAATTTATCCCTAGCGAAGAAGTGAGGAATTATTAGGCCACTAATACGGATTCATCATTTTTTTGGTTTGAGAAATTTACCCAACATTAGAAAATTACTTATAATTACGTTAGCTATTGTATTATTTAAAATATCTTCTATTCACATCAAAGCATTATGAAAAATAAGTATTTGTGAAATTTTTCCAAGTATTTTACCAATAATTTGATGCTTTGAAGTTCTGTAGGGCGAGACTTTCCTCAAATTCCTTTGTCCTTTCTTGAAATGATACTCCACTTACAAGAACATTGTTTTCTGAGAACCAGTTAGACACTAATGTATCAGTTTCACAGAACAAAACCAGTTGTATCAATACAGAACAAAAGCAGTTGAACCCTAATGTATCAATTTCACATACCTCAGTTTTTCTAAATTGTTGAGTCTTGAAATGTTCATTTAAATTAGCATTTCAGAGTAATTTTATTTCCTGTCTATCCTTTAGCACACGATTTACTTCATTTTTACTTATTCTAAATTTCCTCCCTAAATCTCTCAAACTAAGCTTTTCACTTTCTGCTGCATGAAATAAATCAATTTTTGTTTCAATATTAATCTTTTTATTTTTGAAACCATAATAAATAACATATGTAAAATAACACACAAGTAAAAAACTGCACTTTAGTTCCCGAGACCTACCAATAACTAAGAATAATAGAAGTTTTCACTCTACCACATTCTGAGCTTCCTGTTCCTTGACAAGTGGACTAGACATCTCACCACATTTGCTTTCCCATTGGTCTTATCTTGGATTGCCTTACAACTTGCTGACACTGTTTCCGTCCCCCTAAGAACTGAAGCAAGAATAACTGGATTTTGAATTCTATGAATGTGAAATATCCTTTTGATTGCACCACAACTAGCTTTTACCCGATGTATTGTTCGCCTTTTCCCAACTGAAAAGAAGTTTTCAAAAGAGAGAGATTATCTTTTCATTTTGTTGTTCCCTTGCCAAAAACAAAAATATTTTTCACTGAGCAAACATTTGCCTTTGAAACTTCAAAATATTACTAACAAAGAGTATTTCTATTTTTATTTTTATTTCTCTTATTCTATCTTATTCTTGAAACTGATTTTCTGCGTCTCTTAATTAGAGATAAATATATTAAAGTTCCTATTCAAAGGAACCGGAACCAACAGAATTTTCCCTTAAATAGAGAGAGGTATTATGTCCTTACGGGAGGTATTATGTTAGTAATAGCATATAGTAAAATACTGCAAAGTTGGTTTCCCAAGAATGAAAGTCATAAGACTGCAAAATTTTACAGGCAGTAGTTTTACAGGCAATGAAAGCTTAAGACATTATGGAAGAAGTATTATGAAAACATATTACAATTACGAGAAAAGAACAAAGTTAATATATCCAAGTTTAGTTTATGTGGGAGAGATAAAGTGATATGATTTATATGAAAGAGCGAAAGTCGCTAATTGCCTGGTCTTGATTCATTGGGAAAGAAAGGCGCGAGAATAAATATTTTCCCTTGAGTGTTGCATTCATCCTAGGTAATGGCAAATAAATAATTTTACGGAACTTAAATAATTGGTCAACTAGGGGTGAGAAGTGAAGGTACAAAATTTCAACACTTTATTTTAAGTAAAAAAAATACATCATTTACAAAACTACGTATGATAACAGTATAGCCTGTATCATTTAATAGCCAGGGTGTGCATCATTACTTTCCTGACTCATAATCAGAAAATTTTGAAAGCACTTTTCTGATTCATAATTTATAAATTTTGAAATAAATTGTTACAGGTAAACCCCGAAAACTGATTTATATTTTTAGTGTTGTAAGAAGCAATTACTGAAAATAATGTAATAACATTTAAATCTTAAAACATTTATTCATAAGCTGAACAGACATAAAAGGGAAGACGAATCAATAGGGAAGGTTATTTACTCAAAATTCAGCAGAATAAGAAAAATATCGAATAGTTATAGTTAGTAAGCGGGGGGGGGGTCTGCCAGCTCTTTTAATGAAGCTATTAAAGCTATCTGACTGATTATTTGACTTTTAGAAAATATTAATAACTGGCATATTCTTGCCGACTTGGATTTCACAGCCTTATACGCAATGCTGTTTTTGAAACTTTACCATTGACTTATATTAGATAGTATACATACAAGAACGAAAACTAGAAGATTTATTTGCATTAATGTATAATCACAGTCACAGTTAAAAGCGTACTCAAAATTACTCAAACAGTAATTGATGTTGGAAACAATAGATCAAAAATTCAGAACAAAAATAATTGATGGGGGAACTAAAGATACATAAAATTGTCTTTTATTGTTTTTGGTGAACTCATAATTCCATGATCTTTTAAGGAGCTTTCTTAAATGATCTGATCGAATAACACTGTTTTCTGTTTTAATGTATAAAATGAAGGAATTTTTATTTCTCTGATGCATGTTTCCCAGCAAGCGAAGATGGTCTACTTGCGTGTGCCGAAAGCGTATTTCTCCTCGTGACTGGTTCATTTGTTTGGTGACATCTATTGGCAAATGCGGTGCTTTCGTCTTCAAACAGTCACGCATACCTTTCGTTCAGAGTAAATGATCGCTGACATCCACGCTTTGCTATTTAAATGAATGGGTCATGTTTAGAATAGTTTGATCACTCGCCAGAGGGGTTTGCTTAATTATCTTTAATTTCTGTTAAGTGGTTGATAGCATTTAATTGGCTGTAGTTGTATATTGATAACCCTGGTGCATATGCATATACCTATAACAATAAACAATCTTATTTTACCTAACTTGTACCAAAAGGTTTACGATAATATTTATCATAAACCTTTTGGTTCAGTTCTTCAGAGCCGAATTATGAAATTGTGTGGTTCCAACCTGTTATCTAACAGCTATGTGTGTAGGAACCTCGTGAACAGCTAAGTGAATATTCACTTTAGTTCAGAAACAGATACCTAAAACTCAAGAAGGGTTAATTACCCTTTATTTCTCAAAATATGACCTTTACAGATGGTACCTTTCTCAGGACGTACAACAAGGCCTCCACTTGAGCTTGAACTCAAAGTAATAAGAAATGAAATTTAACTAAAGCTTAACTAAAAGATATAGTCGAAGCTATCAAAATTTCTAAGTAGTTGGCCCCTAAATATCAATTAAGCTGCCGAAGCTATCAAGAGCCTGAGATACAGCCGAGAGTAGTAATAGCTCAGACAGAGTGTAACCAAAAGGCAAACGCGCGCTAGTCAGAATTTCTGGCTCTCTAACGAAGTCAGTGTAGCTTCGACTTATATACCGCTCTTACTCATTTGCATTAACTGCGATTCTAAAAGTACATTCTGGTAAGAAATTGTAAGCTGAAATCCAGAAGGATAAGAAAGTAGCTTTAAACAAAGGTAACTGTCAAAAACCTAGGATAAACCTTACAAAATAAACTGAGATAAAAGAAAACAATAGTTTGTGTTGTACTGATGTTAATAAACTATCCAATCCTTACCAGTTTTAAAAAAATGATGAAAGAATATCTTACTTCTTTCAAATAAATGTTACTTTTAATTGTTACACTTTAAGTATACAAAAGAATAGTCTAACATTAATGAGGAAATATTCGTCTATTAAAATTAAAAATAATTTAGGTTTACTTACAAAGAGTTGGCTTTCAGCATATCCATAAGTGTGTCCAAATGAATACTTTAGGCCAGGCACGTATCCTGCATAGCTGAAATAAAACAATAATAATAGTATCCTATTTGTTTTCTAAGTAACTTTGAATTATTGAAAGCAAACAAATGATAGTAAGAAATTCTTATTGAAATTTGATCATCAGTCGCTAGGTAGAGTTTTAAACATATTCCTAGGCTGAAGTTCTCATTCAAAAAAGTTCTCTTAAAAGATCTACGAGTATTAAGCAAACTAAATATAGTTAGAAAATATTTTGTTTTCAGACTTCTAAAAGAAACTGATATTGGCCGAAATTTTATGGAATATAAATAAGTATATGTCTTAAAGTCTGACTATTTTTCGTGTTATGTGTGAAAACTTAACCTACCGTGATGTTTGAAAATCCAGTCTTCATATTGGAGATGAGTGCCGTGTGTAGAAGACATGGTCAGAAATCTATTTTAGTTTTCTACGGATTTCTTAACACCGTAGAACTGAAATACATAAATAAAAATATAGTTTTCCACAATTATGCGCTTTTTGAATCTCCTAAAGTTTTAAAAATGCAGTTCAATATATTTTCCTGTTTCTTATATTAGCAAATTTTGGTTGCGTTTCTAAACTTTTAGACATTAAAATATCAACAATTTTAAGCATTAAAATACAAACTTAAAAATACCCTTTATTTTTAATGTACTTTTATTTATTCACGTTCTGTGCATATATAATTTAGGAATGCGATACGATTATTTGAAAGAAAAAAAGCTTTTTTTTTGCCTAGGAAATAAGGGAAAAAATGAATGAGAAACAAAGAGCTTATAACGCCAGACAGCGATTAGCCGTAGCTGTTGTTCCGCGAGGATACCGCTCATGCATTAACTTAACATTTGAGTTGATTTTGTGATTTGTACGCTCTTCAGTGTTACCTCGGTAACCAGATTGCAACACTTGGCAATCCTTGACTGTAGGGTGGGGCCACTTTACCTGTTTAATCAGAAGGTATTCGTCAATGGATAGGGCGTGTGAGAGTATGCCATCTTTGGCTCATTAATGTATAAATAGAATTCTGGTATAGGATTATTTTCATACTAAAGGAACTTCGTCTTACAGTGCGATGAATCATGCCATTTCTTTCTTAAAGCAACAAGTGCATCAATGTGCTTTAACGTATTTCAACTCGCAGATGATATTTTCAAAAGTTACAGACATCTTCAGTGTCCTAACTTTACTCTTAGCCTTCTTTCCTTGGCTTTTTTGGCTTTAGGTTTTAGCTTTGTAAGCAAGTAAGATTTGTATATGATTAGTCGACTTTCTGCTAGGAAGTGTGTCACAAATGTTGCGAAATATGCCAGATATGTAAATATGTTCGAGTGAATTTACGTGCAAACCTGTATTTTCTTCACATATTAATTTAATTATAATTCCTGACGTCCTCATTTTTAATCTCAAGAGCGGCAAGCATTTTAGTCTCTAACCTCGGGGGCGGGGGAATTTTTATCTATTTTCTTCTAAGTCCATATTTCTTAAAACAAGGGTGAAGGTATTTAAACTAGTATTTAAGGTTAAAAATAAAATATTTAAGATTGAAAACTAAAATGTTTGGCTTTTAAAGCAATACTATATCATTTATCAAACTATACGACACAGCAAGGATTGCTATTGCACAAGACAGAGTATTTTTCATTCGCCTTCTACAATCCCAGATGAAAGGTAATTGTCTTAGTTTCGCGAAAATTTTAATATTACATTTTAAATTATAAACATATCGCTTAAAAATTGAGGGACTTGAAAGCAATAAACGCACTTCTTATTAAATTAAATCTTAATTTAATTTTTAAACAGCATAACTAGCTCTTACAATTTAAAAAATTAATTTATGTTAGTTTTAAATAATAATTCTGAACATTTATTGCAATATTGTTACCAATAAAAGAATTTCAAAATTCATATATTACCTATATCGGAACAGAGCTGTTTGATTTTTATTATCGTCTGGTATATATAAAAAAGAACTGAGCTTCTTATGACGGAATAAAATAAGTTTTCCAAACTTGCTTAATCCATCTGTTCGCTAATATACCGAAAACATTGTGAAAAGTCCCTAAAACAACTAAGAATTTCACTTTTTTGCATATAACTACGCCTTCATCAAATTTATAGCATTTACGAATTTTGCTCTTAATAAATATAATTTTAATATAAATTTCATAAGCACATTTGACGTCGATGCATATAAAAAGACTTTAAGACTCAGTGTTTAATAACCAAGAAATTAACATTCTTGAAATGAACGGAATATATCGAATTTTGCTTGGTTTTGTTTCATGTGTAATGTAAATGCATTGCACATTAACTAATAAAATTCTTCGTGAAAGAAAGCCACTTCAAGTGAAAGTAGTGCAAATTGATTAAAAATAATTTAAAGAAAAGTTAATATTAAACACACTGTCAACTGCTGTCCGTTGTAGGAGTGCAACATCTTCCGGATTTCCTCTCTAATAATATTTATAGGTATTTGATGGTCTAAACATTAATCACAGGCTGATATACAGTGGGCTTGCGTTATTAGAAAAACTTCCAGTTTACAAATTGAGCACTATTTACGTAATGAAACATAGATCCTGAAGATTTAATACTAATTTTAGTAGTATTCTCATTTACAAACTTTCGATTTTACGAATTTCTTTTGCGGTCCTTATGAGTTAGTAAAATAGAATCCCGTTGTACTTTCTGTCTTTCACATTATTAATTGTGTCTTTTGGACCATTTTGTTAGCTTTTACCCCGGATAGATAATCGACGTTTTAGTGTGATTGCACCCAGAATAGCAACCAAGCAGAACTTTTTCTCGACACACCTTTTTTCATATTTTAACCTGAGCCAAATTTCACCTATCTATTCATTATAAAAAGATCTGTTTTCAAAATATCTCTTTAATTCATTGCATTGTTTGTTTAAATGTTCCGAAAATATAACCATCAAAACTGTATGCATCTGTATTTGATTTCACTGTTCAAATGATATGATAGAAAGATAAGAGCTCAATTTCTTGCTAATGCAGTGCCACCATATCAATTGATAAGTTGTATATATTTTTTCTCACATGTATTTTAATAAAACGATTTCGTTACTTAATCAGTCTAAATGCATTCTTGGAGATTTATGAATTTTATTTACATTCAGTTGAATTCGATCTGAATAAACTTACTCTGCATTTCATTTTACAGTTAATATTTACTTCATAATTTATGTTAGTTTTCAAAGGAACAGTTACAAGGCTTGCTTCTGTTATACATCATTATTAATTAATACTGTCTAATTAATTACTTTTAAATAATACTCCTCTTACTCTCATATCATTTCGTTCATATTCAACATTCATTATGTCATTAATCCTTACTAGTTTATCTGATGGTAGTACACCTCGTGGTTAAGGTTCATTAAGATTCTGCTGTTACAATGAAATAAATATTTCATCATGTTATTTATAGTAATTCAAATACGAATCTCAGCATTCTTGACACCATCCTAGCTTTTTGGAATCTTCTTGATTTTGGGTGACTTGATTCAAATGTTGTATTATATAGAAGCTTAAGTATTTTTAAGAAAACTACGGAATGTAATTCCGGATACTGAAAATATTTTGGTAATTTTGGTGCTTAGATAGAAATTATTTCTAAGACTTATTCAAAACACCAGTCAGCTTCAGTTATCCAAACTCCAATTATTTGGATAACTGAATATCTGAACATTTCAAACTTCAGAATGATGCAGATGAAGGTAGGGAACAAGGTTTGGACATAAGATACAGTGCTGAGTTCTCTGAACTTCCGATTGCTAGTACCCAATGATTTTGTTTCATGAAAATGTTTTCGCTGTGATTATTCCGGTATTCAACTAGCCTATCTAGCCTCAGCCTTTACTATTTCATACATATTCCTTTCACTTAGTGGCTTCAGTCTTTATGTCTAAGCCAAAACTTCTGTATTCCAGAGTGTAATATTCCTAATTAGGGCTTCTTAATAAAAAAAGTCCTGCACTTTCTTTTAAAGCCAAGCTGACAGCTGTCAGTCGCTTAAAAAAGAAGGTAAATGATGGTAAAAGAGGGTGCATTAGCTAAGGACTTACTTCATAAAATCAATAATTACCAATTTCTTTTCCTTTAACCAAAACTTGCAAAGCAAGTGAGGACTGTCTACCAAGGGGCATTCGTGGACTTTCTAGAAAAGCGGCTGATATTCGCTTACGTATTTAGTTTAGACTTTCTGATTTTTGTATTCGTTTTGCATCCAAAAATATAATTTAATGGAAACAAAGTATGATGTTTGAAAATAAATTTTGTTTTGTTATAATCAGCTATAAAATGTTCAAAAGAAAGGGATCTGTTTGAAAAACTGTTTTTTTTTAATATAAAGATCTGATCATTGAAATAAACTATTTCCCGAATCAATTCTGGTCCAATTTGATCAGGTTGAATGAGTTTCTGTTGTAATATCATTTTAACCAACTTGCATCAGTGTCTAGGTTTTAGCGGCTCTGTGTTGTATTATAGAATAGAGCTTATTATATTCCGCAGCAAGAGATTTTTCTGAAAGTGGGATAGAGTAAAATTAAGGGTTACAGCCGAAAACATCGCGGCAAAAACATTGCAGACGAAAACGTCGCGGAGAAAACAACGCAAGGAGAAAACGTCGTGCTACAAAACATCGGGGGCGAAAACATCGCAAAGAGAAAACATCGCAGTTCTAAAACGTCGTGGTACAAAACATCGACGTCGAAATAAAGCAGTTCAAAAACTTCGCGTTTAAAAACATCGTCGTCGAAATATCGTGGTAAAAAATAAAGTATCTACAAATCATCGCATGACGATAACATCGCAGAATACTTTTTTCAGCTTTTAATTGTGTAAATGGATATTCCCCGTAATGATTTGTGAGCGCAAGATGGAAAGAAGGATAATTTTACTTTCATATTTTTATTATCAATAAATTTTTTGCTGAAAAATAAAAAGGGACACTTAAGCATAGAAAATTTGCAACTTATAGCACTTAATAGACTTTTAAACCGACATAGTTAACTAACAAAGACCATTAATAATCGTTTTTTATAAGTTTTTACTGGTAATTTTTCATGAAACTATAATCTATAAGTTGCATTTAATTTTCTATGCTTAAGTTTCCTTCTTACTTTTTCAGCAAAAATTTATTAGTTAATAAAAAATGTGAAAGTAAAAATTCTCCCTTCTTAACATCTTGCGCTCACAAATCATTATGGGAATATCCATTTACAATTATTAAAACCTGAAAAAAGTATGTCTGCGATGTTATCGTCATGCGATGAGTGTAGCTTTATTTTTTACCACGATATTTCGACGACGATGTTTTAAACTGCGAAGTTTTGAACCGCTTTTTTCGACGGCGATATTTTGTACCGCGATGTTTTGAACTGCGATGTTTTTCTCTTTGCGATGTTTTCGCCCACGATGTTTTGTAGCACGACGTTTTCGCCTTGCGTTGTTTTCTCCGCGACGTTTTCGTCCGCGATGTTTTTGCCGCGATGTTATCGGCGGACACCAAAATTAAGCATATTGTCTCTTGAAGGAAATACTTTTCAAATCTTATAAACTGAATCTTCTCCAAATTAAGTAAGATATATAAAAAGTATATATAAAATCGATATTAATCACAAATTACTTCTAATAAATTGAGCAAAAATTTACATCCTGTACTTGCCAATTTTTTAACAGTTATCGTAGTCTTACTACAGAATGTAACATTCTATTAGCTACATATGTGTATTTTTTTAAGCTTATTTCTCTGTAGAAAACCGAAAATACAATGAAATGTATAATTTATCTACGTAATGTCTCTAATATACTTTTAATATCTATGAATGGCGTGCAAAATAAACCCAGCAACCTGAAGAAGTAAGACAACGAAAAGGGATTTCAAAATTAATTAAATTAGGCATTATATTTAATTAAAGAAGTTTAAATTATTGTTGTAAATTAGAGAAGTTATGTGATGGAGGATCACTTAAAAATTAAATGCAATAAATTAATAAGAATGAATTTAAACAAAATGGTAGCAGCCAAAAAAGACGATGCAATTGAAACTGCTGGAAGAACTATCGCGTTAATTCCTTCTTAATGCTAGGTCTCTTGTTTTTTTCTTTCATTTCTACGAGTGCTAATGATGTAGTAAGCCATGATCCGAAATTATTGGTCATGTAACTGCAATTGTTAAATTTTAATATCACGTATTCACTTTTGTAACATATGCACCTTAACTTACCCAGGTACACGAAATGGTTTCTCGCTCGGTTCTTGGATTGCAACTGACATCTCTTTTCCGTAAGTGTCATCTGGAACGAAGAGAATAGTCACTAAGTGACCTCTACCTCAAGAAGTCTGAAAACCCTGTGGAAGATTAAAGCATAATTACGAATGTATCGGGACTAATAAATTAAAAGGAGAAGGTTAATACCACAATAACCTATTTCTCAAAAATAAAAATTGAGATTTATACTTAATTAGAAATTAAAATAAAAAAATTTGCTACTTTTATGGTTTGCATGTTTACTAAATTACAGAATTAAATAACTAGAAATACACAATCATTCAAAAACTATTTATATACCAACAATTATATTTGTATGTAACATAAATGAAGTACCGCTTTATATTTATTGCTTTTTATAATTTTTTATAATTGAATTAAATTTTTACTTGCTCTATTTAAAGTTATACTTGTTTAAATTTTGATGTGCGATTATTCTCATTTGTATTCTGTGAATTCTGCTTTAAGCTTTTTAACCACTTTACCTTATAACGGGCAGCAACAGATTTTCTGCATACTAAAGGAGTACCATTTAGATATAAGATGAATACAGTAACATCACTAGTTTAACTTAATGTGTTAGCTAAGATAAAAGGTAAAAAAATCACTTTTATTTTACACCATGAAGTATATCATTTGTAAGTATTACAAATCATTTTCTCTGAAATGACTTAAGTTGTTGTCTATTGCTGTTTCTATTTAAACTGAAAAATGCTTAATTGAATTCTGAAGGTATTTAAATGGCTCACTTTCATATCAAATTTAATTATTCTTGGCATAAAATTTATAATATTCAGTTATTTACAGTTGATTTAATCTTTTACGTCAGACGCACATGCAAGCTCACTATTATTCCAGAGTTTGAAATCAAGAAAATTTCAAAACGTAAACATATGTTGCTTTCTAGTTTAAAGTTAATTTTATTCTAGTATACTTGTTTTAGATTGTTACTTATATACATTAGGGCTTTATGAAAGTCAAATAAGTCAATTAGAAATTTAACATATGATTGTATATTAAAAAACAGAGCTAAAAAAATTTAACTACCCGCATTCTTTCGTTCTGTAAGTAGAAGCACGCTCAACATATGTTCGTTGAAATCCGGAGTTCTGTATTCCATACGCGTTGCTAATTGAAAAAAACACAATAATATAGAAACATGCTGGAGAAAAATGAATAATATTGTAATTTAAATGCAGTAATACCTACGAAAAATATTCACCTTGAAAAACCACACACTTGTAAAATCATTAGTTTAATATCGATGCAAGGACGTGAAAAATATACAAAGCTGTCGCCGATATTTCGCCATTTTAATTCGGTCGCCGCTAGCAGAGTCTTTTATAACTTTACGAAGTCAAGGAACTGAAGAAATCCTCACTATGATCGCTAGAATTCTAATTTCGGACCTTGCGAACATGCGTCGAGAATGCTTATAGTTACACTACAATGAAGCGGAAAGGGGGCTTATAAATGCCTTATAAGCTTATAAAACACATGAAATTAAGGGAAAAACTAAACACCCCATAAAATAACCATTTATATTTCGAATTTCAGAAATCCCTTTCTAGAATGTCTTAAAAGCTTTTCACACAGAATAGGCATTTGATTTACTAAAATATTTTTTATAATTGACTTGAATTTTTGCTTGCTCCATTTTTGGTTATTTAATTCATTTTCAAGGTTCTTCTAATTCCTATTGAGTAATTTCAAGGTTCCTAGTGAGCACCACGAGTACTTTAGTTAACATAATCCATCAATGAAAGATTATTTCTCGAGCATTAATTTAGAAATTATTTCTAATTAATTTAGAAATCTTATTAATTTAGAAATTAGAGAAATTAATTCTCGAAAATTAATCCTTTATTTTGCATATAGTCTGAAGTTTACATTTTTTACATGCATTTATAAGGTGTATTTAAATTGGTGTATTGCTTTCGTAATGCAAGTAATTATAGCTTTAGGTACTTAGGCAGATAGCCCTAGTGTGCTTTGCCATAATTAAATACACCATTTATAAGGAATTATAGCTTTAGGTACAGCGTCCTCTCGAGTGTAAGTGCTGCTAGAAAACTAAGATATCCGTGGCTTGAATCCTGGAGAGGGCATATGCCCTCTCCAGGATTCAAGTTTTTTGTTCCAAGAAATCTAATAATTCTGTACATTGGAGTCCTAACTAAAATGTGGTGAATGATAATTCATTAAAACTAGGATTTGTATCACTGAGTCTATTGCCCTTCTCTATTTGCCAAATGAAGAAAGAATGTAAAAAATTTTCACACATTTCTCGCCGCACATACTTTCGTAATGCAAGTAATTAACACTTCAAGCTATCACATGTGGGTGAATCCCTGAGAATACGCAGTTAATTTTTACATTCTCCGTGATTTCGAATACAACCTGATGACCTCTACAGTGGCTCTAAAAATTTAAAACAAAATGTAGGGAACGATAATTCATTACCGCTTGGATTTTGTCTACTAGGTCTCATGCCTCTCCCTAGTCATCATTTCAGTGGGAAGGGGCATTAAAAGGAATTATCCCATTCCCCATGCGTGCTCCAGTCATGTAAGTAGTAGTATCTCCGGTTAACAACTAGAAGTTCCGCGTTCAAATCTCGGATAGGGCACAGTTGATTTATCATTTTCCATGGTTGCAAAAAATCTAATGATGTTGACTATTAAACGCTAACGAATGAGACAAATGGGAGGAGAAAGGAAAGTTGGCTTAAAATAATCATAATCACTTCGGACTCAAACTTAGTCAAAGTTACTTTTTTCATCATTTCAGATAAACTGGGCGCTCCAGTTAAGCACAATTCGGTAAATCAATACATAATAAGTGCATTTTTTTATTTAATATGAACCATTTATAACAATACTAACGACCCAAAAAAATGCGAAGAAACAAACAAAACATGGTAAATTTAAAAATTATGCCAAATTTTAACTTTATACTGAAACTGATTTTAATAAAAATGCTTTGTATAGTTCAAGAAACCATTGAATTTGGCTCATTTACGCTATTCGAATATTAATTCTTTAAGCTGGTAATGTATGTAGTGGAGGAAATACGTAGTTATGTAAGGCATAGACATAAGTTTCAGGTGCTCTTCTTTTAAATTCACTACAATGCTAATAAAAATATAATTTTTATTAAATTTAAAATCTTTCAGACACATATTTTTTATTTAATGTCCTTTATGACGCTTTTTTTCCAATGAACTCATATTGATAAAGAAGCCAAGAAAAATATATGAAAAGCTTATGAAAGAACATAACTGGTCACGATAAAGTCGAAAAACTGAAAATGGTGAACTTATTATCTAACATCCTAAAATCTTTTTATATCCTTACAAATAATTTGAAAATTTAAACCATCTAAAGCCATCTAATATATCATTTTCTTCCTTGTTTAAATGCTAGGAAGAATGCTTTTAGTTCTCCCGTTTCATATTTCTTTAGTTCCTTCTTTACTCTGTTCAAATATTTCAACGGAATAACTGCTTTGAAACATCAAGCAATCTAGTTTAACTGGTATTTTCCCTTCTATAGCGGTGTTCTGCGTATAGTCACTTACCGTTTCTAACAGTTGAAATTTTTACTGTAACTTATTTAAGTGTGCTGTGTGAAAAAATATGAATACTTGAAAACACTTTAGTAAAAAGTATGTGGTGTTGCGTGGCCCCAACTTGCCCGCAACAATAGTAGTGACTGCTATGAACTGGAAAGTACACAAACTCTTAAGGGTTTAACTCCCTTTTTATTCCACTTTAGAAGTTACAGATGCGTTCACTTGACGCTCACAAACTACGCCGACCCGGCGGTTAAATAAAAATAAGAAAGTACAACTAAAAATGAATAATAACAAGTCACTACCTACGAGGCTCTCTAGACGCGACTAACTTAACCGCGTTCTAAGATACAGCTGAGATTTCAGCAAACTTTCTCAATAAAAATTTGAAAGATTCAACTAACTGCCGAAGCAAGCACACAGGCCGAAACGCGCGGTTCTTAAATTTCTACCTAGCACCTTCACGCTCGTGAATCAAGAAAGCACACTTACGAACTCGTTTCCCTTCTATTTAACTCAAAAATACTTCTGCTAAAAATTTGAATACTTTGCGCGTTCTACTAAAATTTACATACTCTGGCATTGGCAATTCCAGGGGAAAGTAAGGCTTGACAGGAAAGATAGCTTAAACTTAAAATAAATATTAGTTAAAATAAACATAAACCCTACAAGTAAATAGAATATTTATGCATTTGTTTTAACATGTTGATCGTAAAAAGGCACTCTGCATTGTCACTTCTTTTCTGCATTTTATATTTTTCAACGAAAAGAATTTTTCAAACTCTAATTTGCAAATGTTTTACATAGTTATACTTATAGTGCTTATAAGGTATTCCTCCCGACTTCTTAGCATGCCTTCGTGGCGTAGTGGACAGCACGCTCGACACGTATTCGAGAGGTCCGTAGTTCGAGTCCCGGCGAGAGCATTGCTCATTTTTAATTTCTCCTGCTTCGAAATAACCTAATGTCTTTACAGTAAACCTAATGTTTCTCCTGCTTAGCATGCCTTCGTGGTGTAGTGGTTAGCACGCTCGACGCGTGTTCGAGAGGTCCATGTTTTGCGTCCCGGCGAGAGCATTGTTTATTTTTCATCTTTCCTTCTTCCAAAAACTCCTAATGACTCTACATCCTTAGTATCCCGATTTCATTTGGAAATTAAAACATCTAACAGTTCTTTAATTTCTATAATGAAGAATTGTTTTATTGAAACGTTAGTCTTCTTATCAATTGATACATGACGATCCGTTTTATGTTTTCGTTTTTTCTCATATTCATATAAGTGTCTTTAAAGCTAAACTTTACTTTTCTCAGGAATACGTACAAAAAATGTTTTCATGGCTGCTTTAAAGAAAGACATAATCCATCTATTAAGCGGTTGCTTTTGTAGACAGTTATACATAGTTTTTGACTGCAAGGATTTATTTGATTTTTATGTTTCATTTTTCATACAGTATTAAACGCTATTCAGATAACACACATAATAATTTATTTGCTTGAAATTGCTATT